GTCCTTCACGCCCTCGGCGTCCTCGGTGTCCTCGACGTCCTCCGCGTCGTCGGCGTCCTCGACCTCCTCGGCGTCGTCGGCGTCCTTGACGTCTTCGACGGCCTCGGCGTCGTCGGCGTCCTCGGCCGTGTGCCTGGCGCGGCTCGCGCGGCTCGCACGGCGCCTCGGCCACGGCACGTGTAAAAACGCGAAGAGAATGGCTTCTCGACACGTTTCCGATAGCACGCGTCAGGAGCAGCCCGGCGGTTCCTCGGCACCTCCTCGCCGCCGCGTCTCTCTCGCACCCCCGCGCAACGCCCCGCGCAACGCCCCGCGAGTGCGACAGAGACGGCGGACTCTTCGGAATCCGTCTGCCCCACCTTTCGACTTGGGGATCACGCTGTTCTGGCATTGATGGACACGACCGCGTCGAGGGGCAACTTTTCTCTGCGCATCGCCTCGCCTCGCCCCGCGGCCCGGCAGGCCGTAGTACTTCCGGACACTTGGGAGAGAGAGCCTCCCCATAATATCTTAATAGACAGCTGGGGGCCTATGCTAAGTAGGATCGCGGCCTGGACCGCTGTGAGCGTAAATTCGAAACTGGGGCGCCGCGCGGGGTAATCACACTGTTAAGAAAAACTGGTGAACTCAGCGAAAACCAGGCAGAAGTCGCAATCCTTTCGGTGACGGTGCGACTGTGGCCGTTGGACCGTGAACGTCGCCACCCACACTGTATTGGCCCGGCCGATCGCAGGGGCCGTGGGGTTTGTTTCGGGGCCCCGACCCGAAACGGCGGCCCGAAACGGGGACGCCGCCGCCTTGATGATGTTGATGATGGCGGCCCGGCCCGGCAAGGCTCGGCCGGGCGTCTGAAGGGGTTGGGATGAGAAATGGTGGGGCCGGTAGTTATGGCGAGAGCGGCGAGAGCGGCGAGACGAGGCTCTAGCGCGGCCCGCACGGCGCGGCCAGCGGTGGCGCAGGCATGGCCAGCCTTTGCCGGCGGCAGTGCGCGTGTTGAGCACGCCCCACGATGACTACTCCACTGTAATAGGCCCTTTATGCAAATGCACTAGTTGCAGGCCGGGCTATAGTGCGATAGTGGTCGAGGCGGCTGGGCCGGGCTGGGCCGGGCTGTGCAGTCTGTGGTTGCTTGTGCCGACAGGGCGGACAGGGCAGGGGGCGGTGGGGCATAACCCAGCAGCGTCCCTGGCAACTTGGGCCGAGATGAGACTGGCTTTCTGACTTGTGATCCCACCGGCATACACTTATCGCAGGAAGGGCGGGTCCAAACCATGGCCCGCTCCAATGAAGGGTCTCTGTTCCCGTCTCTGCCCCCCCCCCCCCCAAACCCCGACCGGGCCCTTCCGCTTCTCATTGAGGACCTGCCGTCGAGCGAAAAAGCAAAGACTACACCGCACAGTGGGCCAGAAGACCGGTGGAGGTGATCAAAATGAGCGTCAGAGTCGCTAAATGGGAATCCACGCAAGACCAAATTTTTGTGTTGTACTGTCCGACCCAGCGCCTTCCTGACTGCGCGCGAAGCACTGCCCGCGACCTTGGCGATGCATTAGGGGGGCGGTGCCGGCCGCGCCTGGCGGGCGGAGCGCGGAGCCACCAAACGCACATTGGTCTCCATTTCTCTTCTGGCCGCCTCCAGTTCTCGAAAGCCCGTTTTTCATCAAATCTTTTTATCTGGGCCAGCCACTGCAGCGGGTGTAGGCATGCAGGCGGGGCTCCGCGGGGGCGGGCGGGGGCGGGCGGGGGCGACCCGGGAGGGGCCGGCAAGGACAGCGGGCTGGCTCTGGACCAACAAAGATAAAGCCGTCTCCGAATACGAGATTTCGGGATCGCATCGGCCAGTCTCGAAAGCAGTATCGAAGCTCGATTCAGTGTGTGCCCGCACCGCCTGCACGCACCAGCCATCCTCAGCACATCCGAGGCGCCATCCTGCTCCAAGCACCAACTAGCCCTTCCAGGCCGCTTGCAAAAGCAGCACGCTTGTTGTCCGTTCAGCCATTAGTTTTTCTGTGATTAAAACGTGTTCTTTTGGCTTGCCAAAAAAAAAGCCCGCATAGATCCTTTACATTGCTCCCGCGGCTTATGTGAAAGTCCCCTACCTCTCTTTCCTGATTATAACCCCCGCCCCTCCGCCCCCGGCGCGTGGTGCAGCTTTGGTGTCCCTTTTTGGTCACGTTGCTTTGCGCTGCTTTCTGTCCGTGTGTTTTCGGCTCCAAAAAGTCGCCCCTGCCCCTACGATTGTATCTCACGTCCACATGCAACAACGTAATAAAAAGACGTGCCTTTTCTTTTCTCTCTCTTTTTAAGGGGAGGTGTTTTACTCGCCTCGCCCGCCGACGATAACGGCTTCAAATGGCGGCGGCCATTACTATATCACGTGCGCCTGTTTATGTGTCGCCAGTCGCCGCGCGGTGCAGTCAGTCTGGACCGCGCGATCCAAACGACTTGCGGTGTGTCGACCGTTCCTTCCACCAGTATTTTATTGTTCACCTGATACAAGTCGTCGTGGCAAAATTCTTAAATTTAAAGGGAATTCATTTCACAATCGTATTGAAGTGTGTCGCGGTGGGGCGATGATTCATCGCGTGATTTTGGAACGGGACCTTCCAAACCTGTCGTACTTGACTCCGTCCGAATTTATTTTCTGGCACCGCCAGCGCCATAGACAGTGGCTTGGACAGTCCCTCGGACAGTCCTGCCCTGACCCAGTCTTCCCTGTCACACGGTGCGCCGTCCGTGCGCCGCGTGGCAGGCAGTAGACTGACTCCGAGAGTCGTCCGCGTCGCTCTGTCTCCCTCGCGCCTATACGGAACGCCCCATGAGTGCGAGGGAGGCAGAGCGACGAAAGCGACTCTCAGTCTGCGGGGCGGCGGCAGGGCGGGCAGCAGGCACGGCGCCCAAGGACAATGGATGGCCCTGCAGGGCAGCGTCATATTTCAAGGAGGTCTGCTGCGCGCTGCTTCCAGTGTGGGAGGCCTAGTTCGGGTACCGGTACCTGTCATCCAATTCAGCAGGGGGCTGGTGCGGGATGTCACAGGCTGCGTCGGCAAAATAATCACAAACCCAACCAGAAACTGAACAGGACACAGAAAAGATAGACCACACATTTAAAATCATCCGCTCAAATAATTTTGCTTCCGTCCAAACATTTTGTAATCCTTTAAATTATATTTTTCTGTAGATTTCAAATTTGTTGTGCATTTCAAGTTCTTCATTTGGAAGAAGTGCCCCCCCTTTCACGCGTGAAACAACGACATTGTAAAAGATCGGAGGAAGGCACAAGAGAGAGAGAGAGAGAGAGAGGGGGGGGGGGGGGGTCGTTCCCTCCGAAGGGCGTGTTTGTTTGCACAGCATTACATGCGTCGCTCTGCCTGCCCTGCCTGTCCCACTCACTTGATTGCATGGAAAAAGCAGCAACGCCACCGGGTGAAGATTCGCAAATAGCGACGCGGTTCAGCTGCTGCACTGGCAAGACTAGAAGACGGGACCGGAATTGCTCGCCGCCAAGCAGACGAACAGACGGGAGGGAGGAAAGGGGCACTATTTCGCGACTGACTGCCACACCCTGACGGGGATACGTAGTACACTCTCCCGCGACATTTATTTTCTTGTTTTTTTTTTAAGTCTGTTTTAATTTTTTTCTTGCTTTGCGGAAAGGGTGGTGCTTACGGCGGCATGCCAAACGGACCCGTGAGGTTCTTTTTTCTCGTTTCGTTACGCAAACGTTAACGACGGCGGTTGTAATTTTGCACCTGAGACTGAGAGAGACGTGGTGGGTGGGCTCGTCCGGCCGGCCCTCGACGCAGCACCAACCCAGCGCAGCCCAGTGCAGCAGTGTGGATTGAGCAATAACCGTGAAATAGAAGTCCACGCGCTGTGTTTGTTTAGTGGTCGCTTCGCTGTAGGCGGCAGGTGTGTGTGTGTGTGTGTGTGTGCGCGCGCGCGAGTGCGTGCATGAGTGTGCGTGTTTTTTTGAGTGTGTGTGTTTGTGCGTGAAACCAGTGTCGGTGTCTCCCCTCCATTTCGCGTCGTGTTGGCAGGGTCTTTTTCCCGCCGAGTGACGCGGTGTGCATCCGCCGCCCGGTGTATTCATTCCGAAGAGTGCCGTCCTGTCTCACTCGCACGCTGACGGGACGCCCCCTGAGTGCGACAGAGCGCGACAGAACGTCTCTTCCGAACCAGGGCTGCCAACAATGCCACTGTGCGACTCTCATGACTCGATCTTTCCCTCTCCCTCGCCTGCCGGTTGCGCGCGCGCCGCCCCGCGAAACGAACACTTGAAACAAAAGCGATCTGCTGTTTTCCGTTCCGACTGCCTTCCCCCTGCGAATCCCCAATCCGATGCGCCCAACTTTGCCACTTTACGGCGCGTCGGCGCGTCGAGCGAGATAAAGCAACGCCATTTCGCGCGCTTGGCTTCGAAAAAGGATTCATCCGCACTTGAAAAATTAATAGGGAGACTTGACGCCGCTTCTTGAACCGCAGTGCCCACTGCACTGCTCGCAAAGTAGCCCCTCCCCTCGCGGGCAGACACACTGGTCGAATCGACGATATCCCTACACCGCCATTTCCAGGAGGTATTACGTTTTCACCACTGTTAACAACAGCGCACTTTTTTCGGGCCGCCGCCACCGCCAACGGCACAACTTTTTTTTATTTCCCCTAAATGGCGACGAATAATTCTGACCGGTTGGCTCAGCGAGGATCAGTGCGTGTCTGCGAGGGGGGGGGGCGTGTAATTGAAATGGCGCGCGTTGAGGCGCACTCGTCATCGCGATGCGTGAGCCGCACTGGACTCTGCCAAAAGCGACGGTCTTTGGCCGCAACTGCGTTGCATTTCCTGTTTGAACGATCGACCAGGCTTTTTGCCATTTGCACGATTGGCTTGACTGAAATCACAGAGCACACGGAAACTGCAGTGACGTTGGTCGACGTTGGTAATGAGTTGCCTCACGGACCAAACAAGGACAAAAATGAAGACCATGTTTTTGTTTCCCTTCCAGATGACCATTCCGTCGCCACCTCGTCCGCCCCAGCCCCCCGCCCCGCTGTGACCATGAGGAGGCTGTGGGTGTTGACCTTCACCATGTGCATCGTGACCTGCGCCACCACGGGTAAGCCAAGCACACCCTCCGAACTCGCCATAAATGCATTTATTTCCACCTGCCATTTTTGTTTCGTTTGTCAGAAGATAATGACTGCTGGACACATGGCAAACACGACCCGACAGCATATAATTTGCCTGCGCTCCCGTACGCATACACACACACACACACACACGCACACGCTCAAAGGATCATTGTCGTGTCCAACCAGGCAGCAGCGCGTAAGGCTCAAGCTAACAGACAGGCCTTTATGCAGCACTGCCTCGTGCCCACTTTCGTCTCTGAAAATTAAAATGCTCAGGGAAATGGCTGGTGAGAGTGCCACGGCCGCGGCGGTACACCGTAAGGAGGACAAAATTAAGCAGACACACTGTTTGACGACTTTACTTTTTTAAGCGGAAAATACGAGTCTATGTAGCTTGACCCACCTCAAAGTTGACCTACCTATATATTAATTAATAAAAATATTAATGTAAATATTAGAATATAAATATGGGAATATAAATAGGAGTAATATAAATATTACCAAAAAAGTTGACCCACCCCACAGTTGACCTACCCTATATTTTTGACTTGACCGACGAAGCGCGACGGCCTCGCGGCAGGGGAAGCGCGACGGCCTCGCGGCAGGGGAAGCGCGACAGTGTCGCGGCAGGGGAAGCGCGACAGTGTCGCGGCAGGGGAAGCGCGACGGCCTCGCGGCAGGGGAAGCGCGACAGTGTCGCGGCAGGGGAAGCGCGACAGTGTCGCGGCAGGGGAAGCGCGACAGTGTCGCGGCAGGGGAAGCGCGACAGTGTCGCGGCAGGGGAAGCGCGACAGTGTCGCGGCAGGGGAAGCGCGACGGCCTCGCGGCAGGGGAAGCGCGACAGTGTCACGGCAGGGGAAGCGCGACAGTGTCGCGGCAGGGGAACCGCGACGGCCTCGCGGCAGGGGAAGCGCGACGGCCTCGCGGCAGGGGAAGCGCGACAGTGTCGCGGCAGGGGAAGCGCGACAGTGTCGCGGCAGGGGAAGCGCGACGGCCTCGCGGCAGGAGAAGCGCGACGGCCTCGCGGCAGGGGAAGCGCGACGGCCTCGCGGCAGGGGAAGCGCGACAGTGTCGCGGCAGGAGAAGCGCGACGGCCTCGCGGCAGCGGAAGCGCGACAGTGTCGCGGCAGGGGAAGCGCGACAGTGTCGCGGCAGGGGAAGCGCGACAGTGTCGCGGCAGGGGAAGCACGACAGTGTCGCGGCAGGGGAAGCGCGACGGCCTCGCGGCAGGAAAGGCGCGACAGTGTCGCGGCAGGGGAAGCGCGACAGTGTCGCGGCAAAGGAAGCGCGACAGTGTCGCGGCAGGGGAAGCGCGACAGTGTCGCGGCAGGGGAAGCGCGACAGTGTCGCGGCAGGGGAAGCGCGACGGCCTCGCGGCCAGGGCCGCCGGAAGTACTTTCTGGTGGGGGAGGGGGCGAAATTTTTATGAAAAATTGTTGGGTTGCCTACCGTTAAGGGGCAACACCCAATACGGTTTAGACTTCTCTAATAGTGTTCCAAATCCAGCGAGCGAAGCGAGCTTAAAGCGAAAATTCACACAATTCTAGACTTTAACACAACTTTTGCCATTTTTAGAGCTTAATCACACGCTTTATTGGTGGGCGAAGCGAGCCAAACGGCAAAATAATGGAGGAAAACTAAGAAAACCTGCGAGCGAAGCGAGCAAGAGGCCGAAAATCAAAGAATATGCGACTTTGCTGTATTTTTCTCTCTATTTTGAGCTCAAAATGGCACTTTAGTGTCTGAAAGTGGGAGGGGGGGGCGCTGCCAAACAGCGAGGCTGTGCCAGCGTCAACCAGCGAGGCTGTGCCAGCCTCACACAGCGAGGCTGTGCCAGCGTCAAACAGCGAGGCTGTGCCAGCGTCAAACAGTGAGGCTGTGCCAGCGTCAAACAGCGAGGCTGTGCCAGCCTCACACAGCGAGGCTGTGCCAGCGTCAAACAGCGAGGCTGTGCCAGCGTCAAACAGCGAGGCTGTGCCAGCGTCAAACAGCGAGGCTGTGCCAGCGTCAAACAGCGAGGCTGTGCCAGCCTCACACAGCGAGGCTGTGCCAGCGTCAAACAGCGAGGCTGTGCCAGCGTCAAACAGCGCGGCTGTGCCAGCGTCAAACAGCGAGGCTGTGCCAGCCTCACACAGCGAGGCTGTGCCAGCGTCAAACAGCGAGGCTGTGCCAGCGTCAAACAGCGAGGCTGTGCCAGCGTCAAACAGCGATGCTGTGCCAGCGTCAAACAGCGATGCTGTGCCAGCGTCAAACAGCGAGGCTGTGCCAGCCTCACACAGCGAGGCTGTGGCAGCGTCAAACAGCGAGGCTGTGCCAGCGTCAATCAGCGAGGCTATGCCAGCATCACACGGCGAGGCTGTGCCAGCGTCAAACAGCGAGGCTGTGCCAGCGTCAAACAGCGAGGCTGTGCCAGCGTCAAACAGCGAGGCTGTGCCAGCGTCAAACAGCGAGGCTGTGCCAGCGTCAAACAGCGAGGCTGTGCCAGCGTCAAACAGCGAGGCTGTGCCATCCTCACACAGCGAGGCTGTGGCAGCGTCAAACAGCGAGGCTGTGCCAGCGTCAAACAGCGAGGCTGTGCCAGCCTCACACGGCGAGGCTGTGCCAGCGTCAAACAGCGAGGCTGTGCCAGCGTCAAACAGCGAGGCTGTGCCAGCGTCAAACAGCGAGGCTGTGCCAGCGTCAAACAGCGAGGCTGTGCCAGCGTCAAACAGCGAGGCTGTGCCAGCGTCAAACAGCGAGGCTGTGCCAGCGTCAAACAGCGAGGCTGTGCCAGCCTCACACAGCGAGGCTGTGCCAGCGTCAAACAGCGAGGCTGTGCCAGCGTCAAACAGCGAGGCTGTGCCAGCCTCAAAAAGCGAGGCTGTGCCAGCCTCACACAGCGAGGCTGTGCCAGCGTCAAACAGCGAGGCTGTGCCAGCTTTAAACAGCGAGGCTGTGCCAGCGTCAAACAGCGAGGCTGTGCCAGCGTCAAACAGCGAGGCTGTGCCAGCGTCAACCAGCGAGGCTGTGCCAGCCTCACACGGCGAGGCTGTGCCAGCGTCAAACAGCGAGGCTGTGCCAGCGTCAAACAGCGAGGCTGTGCCAGCGTCAAACAGCGAGGCTGTGCCAGCGTCAAACAGCGAGGCTGTGCCAGCGTTAAACAGCGAGGCTGTGCCAGCGTCAAACAGCGAGGCTGTGCCAGCCTCACACAGCGAGGCTGTGCCAGCGTCCGCGGCAGGGGAAGCGCGACGGCCTCGCGGCACGGAAAGGGCGACAGTGTCGCGGCAAAGGAAGCGCGACAGTGTCGCGGCAGGGGAAGCGCGACAGTGTCGCGGCAGGGGAAGAGCGACAGTGTCGCGGCAGGGGAAGCGCGACAGTGTCGCGGCGAAGGCAGCGCGACAGTGTCGCGGCAGGGGAAGCGCGACGGTGTCGCGGCAGGGGAAGAGCGACAGTGTCGCGGCAGGGGAAGCGCGACGGCCTCGCGGCAGGGGAAGCGCGACAGTGTCGCGGCAGGGGAAGCGCGACAGTGTCGCGGCAGGGGAAGCGCGACAGTGTCGCGGCAGGGGAAGCGCGACGGCCTCGCGGCAGGGGAAGCGCGACGGCCTCGCGGAAGGGAAAGCGCGACAGTGTCGCGGCAGGGGAAGCGCGACAGCCTCGCGGCAGGGGAAGCGCGACAGTGTCGCGGCAGGGGAAGCGCGACAGTGTCGCGGCAGGGGAAGCGCGACGGCCTCGCGGCAGGGGAAGCGCGACGGCCTCGCGGCAGGGGAAGCGCGACGGCCTCGCGGCAGGGGAAGCGCGACAGTGTCGCGGCAGGAGAAGCGCGACGGCCTCGCGGCAGGGGAAGCGCGACAGTGTCGCGGCAGGGGAAGCGCGACAGTGTCGCGGCAGGGGAAGCGCGACAGTGTCGCGGCAAAGGAAGCGCGACAGTGTCGCGGCAGGGGAAGCGCGACGGCCTCGCGGCAGGGGAAGCGCGACAGTGTCGCGGCAGGGGAAGAGCGACAGTGTCGCGGCAGGGGAAGCGCGACAGTGTCGCGGCGAAGGCAGCGCGACAGTGTCGCGGCAGGGGAAGCGCGACAGTGTCGCGGCAGGGGAAGAGCGACAGTGTCGCGGCAGGGGAAGCGCGACAGTGTCGCGGCGAAGGCAGCGCGACAGTGTCGCGGCAGGGGAAGCGCGACAGTGTCGCGGCAGGGGAAGAGCGACAGTGTCGCGGCAGGGGAAGCGCGACGGCCTCGCGGCAGGGGAAGCGCGACAGTGTCGCGGCAGGGGAAGCGCGACAGTGTCGCGGCAGGGGAAGCGCGACAGTGTCGCGGCAGGGGAAGCGCGACAGTGTCGCGGCAGGGGAAGCGCGACAGTGTCGCGGCAGGGGAAGCGCGACAGTGTCGCGGCAGGGGAAGCGCGACGGCCTCGCGGCCAGGGCCGCCGGAAGTACTTTCTGGTGGGGGGGGGCGAAATTTTTATGAAAAATTGTTGGGTTGCCTACCGTTAAGGGGCAACACCTAATACGGTTTAGACTTCTCTAATAGTGTTCCAAATCCAGCAAGCGAAGCGAGCTTAAAGCGAAAATTCACACAATTCTAGACTTTAACACAACTTTTGCCATTTTTAGAGCTTAATCACACGCTTTATTGGTGGGCGAAGCGAGCCACGGCAAAATAATGGAGGAAAACTAAGAAAACCTGCGAGCGAAGCGAGCAAGAGGCCGAAAATCAAAGAATTTGCGACTTTGCTGTATTTTTCTCTCTATTTTGAGCTCAAAATGGCACTTTAGTGTCTGAAAGTGGGAGGGGGGGGGCGCTGCCAAACAGCGAGGCTGTGCCAGCGTCAACCAGCGAGGCTGTGCCAGCCTCACACAGCGAGGCTGTGCCAGCGTCAAACAGCGAGGCTGTGCCAGCGTCAAACAGTGAGGCTGTGCCAGCGTCAAACAGCGAGGCTGTGCCAGCCTCACACACACAGTAAATTGAAATGGCAGAATCCGTAACGGTTGGGCACAGAAACCGCCAGTAAA